TTGATGTGATCGCGGGCGTCGATGTTGGCGTTGATATGTTCGTGAACGTCATACGGTAGGGGTTGATTCACCTCCTGGTTGGTGCTGCGGTTACCGCCTCGGCCGCTCGGTGGACGAGGTGGGTGTCTGCCCTGATCGGCATATCCTTCGTAGTTGCCCCTAGGTCCTTCATGAAGGTAGGGGCCACCGGCTTTGGGTCGAGGGGGCTTGGAGCCCTGATGTTGACTTCCTTTGTCATGGCGGAAGCGACGACTGTGAGCCGACGTGGTGGAGTAAGACGGAGTAGGATGCCGGATCTCATTGACTTGAACTTGAGCCACCATGACATGCGCCTAGATCTTCTCAACTTCTAGAGTCTGGGAGCTTCTCCAGCTCATTGAAAATGATAGCGAGATTGGCGCTTAGCGTCTTCTGCACCGGTTGGCTGCCCACCATGTCGAACTCATCCTCCAGATTGCGGCACGCGCGGTATGGGGCGTTAGGATCCCTGTCAACTCCTCAAGTGGCTTCTTCATCTCAGCGACGTTGTCAATCGGCGTTCTTCGCCAGGCGAGCATTACGCTCTTCGACGGTTTCGCCGTCCTAGGTGATGCTGTCATGGCTGATATGAAAGACCCCGCCCCTGAATTCGGTGGAAAAGGGGGGCAAGTGGAGACGGTCTCGGTGGAGCCCTAGGAGTATGCGCCGGGGCTCTCATCCAAGATGTTGTTGAGAGAATCATCCGATACTTGACGAATAGCCACCATGTTGACCACGGGCACAGGGTGATCGGCCTCAGGCAGATCAATCTAGTAGAGGTCGTCGACACAGTCGCGCTCAACGTGGTTGATGAAAAGGTGGTGGACGGCGTTTTGGTACGTAGATCCCATGCCCACCAGCCCGAAAGGATAGGGCCTCGACATATTCTCCATCGGGGCCTCGTAGTTGGCCAGGCACAAGCCGGTCACAAGGAGTGGTCGGTGTTGTACCATACACCCTTCTAGAGTTATCGTGATCACCAGATCTGAATCTAGCCACCCCGAATGAAGTGGCTGAGCAGATCACTCGGTCGTAGCGGCTCAGCGACCTTGGAGCGTAGGAGTTTCGCTGCTTGCTTTAGATCAATCTAAGACCGAGTCCATGAGGAGCTAGCATTCCACTAAGCGGTCCATGACCCGATCGATGGATGCGACCAGACCGTCATTGCTGATGGATCTCCTAACCCAGCGGCGAGGTGCCGAGATCACAGATGTCATTGAAGATGTTGGTACGATTGGCGCAGGGTGATTCTGCACTGTCTCCATGATTTCCTCAACACCATTGGCGCCGATGACCCAGGTCATAGATCCGACCATGATGGTCTGGCCTGGCTCAAGAAGGATCATGGAGCTCGAGAAGCGAACCATCTGGCTCGCCATGGAATCAGCACGCACACCCCCTACCTGGCGCGCCACTATCGATAAAATACGGCTGGTAGTCTACCGAGGGGTATGCCCACGGTAGTAGATGAATCGGTGGAGGTGCGCGTGACAGGAACTAGATGGTGACATAGAATGCAAGAGACAACGATTAGGCAGGTTTAGACCGTCAGCTTGACGTAGTACCCTACGTCCTATGTCTTTGGTGGATTGTATTATGAGATGAGATAAAAACGAGGGGGTCCCTACCCGCCTTATATAGCTCGGGGGGTAGGGTTACATGTCGGTTGTATCTATCCTGATCGGTTACATGGTATGTGTTTATAAGGAATACGATATCTAGCATATCCGATTAGATTCTCCTTCATCATCAAGGATGCTTCACACAGGCTTGCGGCGCATGTCGACCTGTGTCGTGCCCCGTGTGGCTTGATCTTGTGGGCTAGGGCCTCCCCTAGGGGCGCGGTCCATGTACAGCCCTGTGGGTATATAGGATTATACCCCCATAATACATGAGTGAAAGGATCGAGCGAGGGCCTAGAGGGGTAATGAATATGCTTTGTTTTTCCTATAACTCACAAAACTTGATCTAACTATCAAATCGTGGAGCCTCCGGACAGATGCGCGGAGCGCCTCCGCGCATCAGAGCACAAATCAAACTACAATGGAATTGAGTGAATGAAACTTCGATAGAATCTGATACCAGCCTTCCTATGGAGTGTGTTGAGCTTCTCAAAGCAGTGGTTGCACCTATAACTCGTGGATCAAGTAGATCGGGTGCAAACCCTAGAAATCAATTAAAACACAAGTAATAGCAATAAATAAGCACAAAACAAGTGACACAAGGATTTATCTCGTGGTTCAACTCGCCACAAAGGCTCGCATACGTCCACGTTGTTGAGGAAGCCACCAAGGCTATGGAGTCTCTTTCAACCCACTCTTTTTCTCTAACCCATCACAAAGGTAGTAGGTTAGAGGTTTCCACTAAGTCACAAAAGGACAATACAGACATCATGGTGCTCAACCACAACAAATTGGGAGCTCCCGGACAACCTCTAGCTGAGCAAAGCTCCAAGAGTAACCACACTAAGCGGCTAGGGCTTCACCAAGTGCTCAAGAATGAAGGAGCTTGCTTGCTTTCCCATACTCTCTTTTGCGAAAACCCTCAAGGAATCGCTAAGATTTTGGCCTAGGCTTGTTGGAGCATCAATGGAGGAGAGACGAAAAGTTGCTGGTCGTTGGAAAGTAGTGAATGAAGAAGAGAGAGGAGATGGTATAAATACTCCCCCTCAACTCCTACAACTGGCCAACGGACAAAGCGAGTAGGCTCTGCCTCCGAGCGTGGAGGGCCCACGCACGCTAGAGAAGAAATAGGAGTTCTAAGCAACTGGCTATTTATGGCTGGATGTAATTGATAAAGAGATGGATTCGAGCACTTGGATCATCCCAGCACATCATTAATATCCCTCTTGATAGTATGGCTTGTCCTAAACTCAAATTCAAAATAGAAAATAAAGTAAACTAGCTCTTTGAGCCTTTCTAAGACATCCTTTTGAGTTTGGGGGTCTCCAATAGTCTTTCTCACACCCACAATGAATTGTATACTGTCAAACACTTACAAAAGCCATTAGACCTTTAATTATGTGGTCAACATCACCAAAACCTACTTAGAGCTTGATTGCACTTACAAGGAGCTGTGCTGGGGCCACACCAGATGCTCCATAGGAGCTTGTGTCACCCTCTCCCATCCACCCACACATTTCCAACCCACGCAACATGAGACGGAAGGAAATTCGGGGATAGGGTTGTCTCTGAATCTGAAGGAATATTCCCGTTTGGGAAATGACTCCGTCCTTAGTGTCTCTAAACCAAACACTAGGACCAAAGTGAGATATCTCATTTCATTTCTAGCCTGGCCCTAATGAAACACCATCTAAATGTGCCTCCAGGCCATACACATGCACTAATGCTATCCTTAGCAAGGGCCACATCGTGGAAAATGGAGAGAGGGTTATAACTTCAGCGAAACACATCGATAACTTACTCCTTGCCAACTTGAATCAGAATATGCTCCTCTACATGTAATGATTTCGAGTATATTAGGCAGTGTTTGGTTTAACTTGTGGAAAGTGTTTCTGCTGCCAAAAAGCAGAATGCCAACCAAATGGGTGAAATTTTCTAGAAGTGGGTTTTGGTTGTCGACTTCTGCTTTTCCTAAACATGTGAATAGAGAGACGTTTCACAACTATTTTAAAGGGAGATAGAGCGAGGGGGTAGGTTTCATAGTTATTTCAACCAAACAGTTTACAACTTTTCTATAACTCATAACTCGTAGCAGTTTTTCCTCATCTCATAGCTGAATCAAACGAACCCTCAAAATTACAGATTTTTATGTGTCCTCAAAGGAAATCATGAAACTTGATATTTAATATCTATACCAACACATGGACAGTATAGAAATTAAGGTTGCAATACATTTATGAGGAAAAATTTATATGCTTTACAATCAAACCAAAAAAATCTATTGTATTTTAATTTGATACAACATTGTCATATATTGCCAACATTATAACTCTTAGATTTTATAGAAAATGAAAATGTAAGCATAGATATGTAGCATTTTCTATCCTTATTTCTCATGAACATTTGGTGAGTTTTTTTTCTCTCTGTTGTTATAAGATGTAAAGAAATAAAATAAGGATTTGTTTAGGAGAGCTCCACCAACTTCAGACCCGTGAAAAATAGCTCTATATCCATTTTTCAAGCCAAACATTTCTAGATCCACACATCCATCATAGAGTAGCTCTATAAAATCCATGGATCCGTGGACTTCGTAGATCACCTCAAGAGGGGTCCCCAGAAAACTTAAATTTGGTGGAGTTAGAAAAAATTATCCACCATTGCTACTGATTACACATGATACCGATTTGTTTTGTTGCGTTCTATTTTTTCCTCGCTCGTTCCTCCGTCCACGCATTGCGCGAGCTCTGGCCGGATGCGCGACCTCCCAACCTGAGAAAGATGGAGCTTATTTCATTTTGACTATTAAATATTTTTTAATATTACGTGTGAGTCTATGTCAAATCTAAAGCTCTTCTTAACGTAACATCTTAACAAATTTGTAGGAGCTCAGTTTCACCGTGGAGCTGCTCTACCACGATAGATCTCGCTAGAACTATGGCCGATCTGTTTTTTAGACGGAACTCTGGCCCTAGAATTCTAGAAATAAAAACTCTGGTCAGCTCAACTGGCGACGGGCGGTGGCGGGTGGGGTGACCTGACTCACAGTCACGGTTGCTGTCGCTGCGGGGGGAGGAAGAGGGAGAGAGATCGAGGCTCAGAGAGAGACAGCCACAACAGATTCGAGGCCGGTTGTTTTCTTTCTCGCTCCTATCATTTCGTTTCGTTCCTGATCCAGGCCAGGCGAGCGCGAGCAGGACTACTGCAGGAGCAGCAGGCCACCCCACCCCCACTCCTCTTTCTCCTCCTCCACCACCTCCAGTCACCCGCCACCACCCCCAACGGCGAGGGAGTGAGAGAGATCGGCAGCAGCGCAGAGCAGCTCAGGGCCTTGGCAGGGCGCTGCATTGCGCTGCGGCGGCCATGGCCGATCCGTACGGCGACGGCAAGGGCCCATCACTCAAGAGCCAGAGCCAGAACCAGCAGCCGCGCCCCGGCCCCCGCCTCAAGCCCGCCATCGAGATGGAGGACCTCATCAACCTCCTCCACGGATCCGATCCAGTCCGGGTCGAGCTCACCCGCCTCGAGAACGAGCTGCAGTGTATGCCCACATCTTCAAGCCCTCTCTGCCTCCTCCTCAGATCTCATCCACCTACCTAGCACCTGGCAAGAGGACCCCCGAATTATTCCCGGAATTGGGTTGGATCTCACCTCCTCCGCTTCTGTGTGCAGTCAAGGAGAAGGAGCTGGGCGATGCGCAGGCGGAGATCAAGGCTCTCCGCCTGTCGGACCGCGCGCGCGAGAAGGCCGTACAGGATGTCAGTAACCCTCACCCCGCTTCTTACCACTATACTAGTAGTATCGTAACTCTGCTTGCTACCTCTGCCGCTCTTCGACAACCAGCTAGCTGCCCTGCGTCCCGCCTCCTGTCTGTCGGCACCGACCATCAGCTGCCGCCTAGAGCACCACCATATTGTCACTCACTCGTGATCCGCATTTTCAGCTTCAAACTGAAATCTGCCTCCGCTGTGTTGTGTGCAAACTAAGTCCTTCACTCTAGCTGCTTATGCTTACATAGCAGGGGGTGGGCACAAAATCAAATCTTTAACTGATTTCTCCTTCGTGTGACCTACATTCCTGGTTATATATCGTTACTACCATCTCTAGTCCCGCTAAGGAACAATCACATCCGTTGATTTTGTTTCGTACTTATTATTTTGTAACAAACAATTCTGACTTTGCCTCCTGCATCAATGTAAGCTTACCGAAGAATTGGCAAAGGTGGATGAGAAGCTGAAGCTCACAGAGTCTCTCCTCGAAAGCAAAGTAATGGAGGAGCTCTTTCCTTTTCCCTCTTGTTCATTTCCTTTTTTTTTTGTGTGTGTGTGGAGGAACAGATTTTGATAATATGCAAGGTTGCAGAACCTCGAAGCAAAGAAGATCAACGACGAAAAAAAAGCAGCACTTGCCGCACAGTTTGCAGCTGAGGCAACACTACGAAGGGTTCATGCGGCACAGAAGGATGATGACATGCCTCCTATTGAGGCCATTCTCGCACCACTGGAAGCTGAGCTGAAACTTGCTCGTCAAGAGGTACTTGATCCAAGCGTCTCAAAGACTGCATGCCCACCTTGCTCCTCTTCTTTTCTTCACTACATCATGTATCTTTTTTCGTTCATATCAAGCTCTTATTATTCCCCAAAGGAATTCCAGCTCTACAAATGACGAATGCTGCAACATGCCTACTTAGTTTTATATTTCTTTCTTGACACTTGCTAATATTTCCTAGTATGCTTTACTATGTTGCTAGTTATCACTTGAGTACTTGACAAGTTCTGTACATCACACCTTGTTCTGCAACTTGCTAAGGGTATAGGGTTGGTGCATAGGCTGCATATTTCATCTTTGGTACTATTTATGTTCACCTGTCAGTTCCATGATTAATTGTTGCTTATTTATCCTCATTATGATTGAATGCACACTTCTCGTGAAAATGCTAACATGTTAATCTTCGTGCCCAGATTGCAAAATTACAAGATGACAACAGGGCATTGGATCGTCTTACAAAGTCTAAGGAAGCAGCTCTACTTGAAGCGGAAAGGACGGTTCAGATGGCACTGGCAAAAGCTTCTTTGGTGGATGATCTGCAAAACAAAAACCAAGAATTGATGAAACAGATTGAGATATGCCAGGTACGCAACAATGGAAATATTCATTTACACTAGTAACTTTACTAGCTTGTGTTGCCGATTAAGCTAACAGTATATGAGGCTTCGCCGTTGCACCTAACAGGAAGAGAACAAAATCTTGGATAGAATGCACCGCCAGAAAGTTGCTGAGGTTGAAAAGCTCACTCAGACTGTCAGAGAGCTAGAAGAATCTGTTCTTGCTGGTGGTGCAGCTGCAAATGCTGTCAGAGACTATCAGCGGAAAGTTCAGGAGATGAATGTAATGCATGAATCATGATGTCCTTGGACATGCATTACGCTTTTTAGGACATGCATTACGCTTTTTAGGATATGTGACTAATGCAAGTTTTACAATGTTTCCTATTCTTAGGAGGAAATGAAAACTCTTGATCGTGAGCTAGCTCGTGCAAAGGTTTCAGCAAATAGGGTTGCAGTTGTTGTGGCAAATGAGTGGAAAGACGGCAATGATAAAGTAATGCCTGTTAAACAATGGCTCGAGGAACGAAGGATTCTGCAAGTGAGTGAAATGTCTCTTTTCTTATAGTTTCAAGGTGTTACTGAGTTGCTCCTGTAGATTTGTACAAGTTCCTCAGCGGTGAATTTTGTTGCTTTGTTGAGCATTGTCTTTTTTTGCAGGGAGAAATGCAGCAACTCCGGGACAAACTTGCTATTGCAGAAAGGGCTGCAAGATCAGAAGCTCAACTGAAAGTATACTTTTGCTCTTCATGCTGCTCATGACTACCTTTTCTCCCTGTCTTAATTTCTACCCGGCAGGTCTTTTCACTGTCTCTTCATTGTGATCTGTATCAAATTTTGCAGGAGAAGTTCCAGCTACGACTTAAGGTACTCGAGGAAGGATTGAGAATGTCTACATCGCGAACCAATGTCAGTGCTACACGCCGCCAGTCTATTGGTGGTGCTGATGGTCTGTCTAAGGCCAATGGCTTCCTGTCGAAACGCCCATCGTTCCAGATGAGATCATCAGTGTCTACCACAACAACTCTAGTTAACCATGCAAAAGGGGCATCCAAGTCGTTTGATGGAGGCTGTAGATCACTTGAACGCTATAAGGGCCTTGTAAATGGGAATGGTATGAATGTATCTACCGATTCCAGTGAAGATAAGGAGTCAAACAACTCAGATGAGAAGTGTAATGAGTTTGCGTCTGCTGAGTCGGAGGACTCGGTGTCAGGTGTTCTATATGATATGCTGCAGAAGGAGGTCATTGCTCTAAGGAAGGCATGCCATGAAAAGGATCAAAGCCTGAAAGACAAGGACGACGCTGTTGAGGTAAGGACCTAGTCTTGAGACTGGTTTGCTGTCTCTTCATTTGTTTGTTGCTTCCTCGTAATGAAGTTATGTGCTGTACAGATGTTGGCAAAGAAAGTAGATACTTTGACAAAAGCTATGGAGTCAGATGCCAAGAAATCGAGGCGTGAGTTAGCTGCTATGGAGAAGGAGTTGGCAGCTGTGCGCATGGAGAAAGAGCAGGATAGCAGAGCGAAACGCTTTGGTAGTTCAAGTGGTTCTGGCAGCAGTTCGCAGCTCCCACCTGGCAGGTAGGATTAGTTTGCTATCTTCAGCTGGTGAAGAATGTGTAGTGGAGGGTCTAGCATGTAGTATGTGATTGACCAAATTTGCGTGCATCTTTACTCAGGACTTTACCTCGGAGCGGCTCAGCGCGTAACATGTGAAGGCATGTAGGAAGTGGCCAAATATGCCTTGGATGGGTGCACGCGGATCCTTACTTGGATTAGGACTGGTGACAAAGGAGCCTCTCGTTGTCCTGGAGAAGATGGCATTGCGGAAGAGCCTCTCCTGCCTACATCTCGTGGTCGCGGGGATGAACTACTTTGTGTCTAACAAGGCAAAGCTAGTTTAAGGGGTGTGCTCCGGCTAGTGTTTTTCTTTCTTTTGACGACGTGTCATTTGGTGGTGATTGCTGTTGTTTCGTTTCTTTTTTGGCAATGTGATGATCTTTGATCTTTGTTGGTGCTGTATAGGTTTGGTGAGGCGTTGCTTCTTTTTCTTCTTTGATTGATATATATCCGTCTGTCCGTTGTAATGTAAAATGTATGCACTGAAGAGTTGCTTATAATTTGCCTGACATTTCCCCCCTGTTTCGGTCAGTGTTAGGCAAGTTGATGTGGATAACCAGCATTATGAGAATGACTGAGCTGGCTGTTGTAACGATTTTCTTGTGAATTTGATCTTGTGCCCGATGATGAAGAAACCACATCGGACAATAGTTCCCTTGCATATAGGAGTATGTCTGATGATCACCAGATGAATGGAGTTGAGCTGCTGTTACTTTGTTTTTTCTTGTGAGATTATGAAAAGGGCTGGACTTGACTTGGCAAGGTGAGTATGCTGAGATAATTGTGGTGAGTGAAAGAAATGTCCCTAATGGAGATAGAGCTGACTGCAGACTGCTTGTGTTGTGGTTAAGGAGGAAGAGAGGGAAAAGGAGCTGCTGTCCAGGGCTCCCCCAAAAGGCCAAAACCAAAAGACATCAAGAAGAGAGGAGAGCAGTGAAGAGGCAATACTAGCGCTCGCTGTTGCTGTGCGCTGTGCAGGGTGCGACGGCGTCCGCGTCCGCGTCCGCGTCCGCATCCCCTCCTCCGCCTCCGCCTCCGCCCCCGCCCCCCAATCAGATCAATCCATCCCCTCGCCCTCCTCGCCCTCGATTCCTGCTCCTCTTCCTCGTCCTCCGAATCGCGGGCAGGTGGAGCTGCAGAGGGTGGAGCCGGCGGCGCTCCACCAAAACCAAAGTAGAGGAATCCCCAAATCCGAATCGCTCCCATCGATTGTGAGTTTGTTGTTGCTGCGTCTCAAGCTAGACTAGATTTTTTCGATTCTTATTGTAGATCGAATCGATCGATTCGATTCATCGCTCCATCGACTGGTAGTAGATAGAGATAGGGTTCATACGCCCATTGATTCGACGATGTTCCGCCGTGACTGCGTGGGACCGCCGCCGCCATGCCCCCCGGCCGCCGCCCTCCACCTTCGCATCCCGCCGTCTTGACCAAAACCCAAACGCCGACTCCGACCCCGGTTCCCCGCGGGAAGATTATATAAGAGCCAGAACACAAGCGACCCGTGCGCACCAACCACCACCACCGGAGCAACAGGATGGCCGATAGCGGCGGACTCAGCGCCAACAACGCCGCCGCCGCCAACGAAGACGACGACGCCAACACTGCGCCTTTCCCGGACACGGTCCGTATCTTAACACATCTTTGTTTTTATCTATACTCCATCAATCCACTTTTGATTCTCTCTGATTCGGTGATTGTTAGTTTGATTCTCACCCAAATCAAATCTCCACTGCCCTGCCTTCCAGGTCCAGGTCGGAGGATCTCCCGAGTACAAGGTCGAGAGGAAGCTGGGCAAAGGTGGCTTCGGCCATGTCTTTCTTGGCCGGCGTCTGACTGCTGCCCATGCTGGACGCTCTGCGGCGTCTGCTGCCCAAGAGGTTGCCATCAAATTTGAGCACACTACCAGCAAGGGCTGTACCTACGGCCCTCCGGCAGAATGGCAAGTCTACACGTAAGTCTGCTCATCATCGTTCGTGTCTTTCATCTTCCACTGCCACCAACAGATAGTCAGATACTATGTTATTACTACTGTTCATGGTTCTAAGTGACTGCCTCTAATCATGTACCAGCGCTCTAGGAGGCACGCACGGTGTGCCCAAGGTGCATTATAAAGGTCGCCAGGGTGACTACTATGTCATGGTACCGTTCTTCTCCTTCCTGCTGCCACCTCCTCCTCCTTCTAATCTTGGAGAATGGACGACCTTTCTGGGTTTAGCTAATGGAGAAATTGACTCTTCTGGGACCAGTGCTCTTTCTTTATCGAGAGAAGGGGGGCCTGGTCTGAATTTTAGTGAGGAACTTTTGGGATTTTTGCTACTGAAGAATCACTTGTAATTTATTTGAGTTACCTCTCCAGATTATGGATATGCTGGGGCCTAGCTTGTGGGATTCATGGAATTCATTAGGCCAATCGTGAGTTCCTTAACTCTACTACCTCTGACCTCTCCCAGCGGTTGCCATTGTTTTTTCCTACCCTTTTTTTCTCCCCTTCCTGTTTGTAATAACTTGTGCCGAAAAACTTCCAGCATGTCATCGGAAATGGTGGCTTGTATTGCCATGGAGTCCATTTCCATCTTGGAAAGCATGCATTCTAAAGGGTAAGTGGACATCTCAAGCATGCTTAATGGCTAATGTTTAATTCATCAGTCTCTTGTTTATTCTTCTGTGCTTTGCTTTTCAGATATGTGCATGGAGACGTCAAACCTGAGAACTTTCTTCTGGGGCAGCCTTCAACGCCTCAAGAAAAGAAACTTTATCTTGTGGATCTTGGATTAGGTAAACAAGCCTGTTATTAACTTGCATGGTTTTTGTGAAATCGTTTCCCTTTCCTATTTCTGCTAGGTTACTAGTGGTCTGGAGGATTCAGTCTACCATCTTAACAGCTTCTGTGTTAATTTTCACTTGCCAGCAACAAAGTGGAGAGATACTGCTAGTGGACAGCATGTTGGTTATGATCAACGTCCTGATGCCTTTAGGTTTGCCACTGTCTTTTATGTTTCATAATATAATATTCATATTTGTCTGCTAATTCTGGCATTAGTTCTATGTCTAAACTTCTCTCTTGCCTTTATAATCTAGAGGAACAGTCAGATATGCTAGTGTCCATGCACATTTAGGAAGAACCGCTAGCAGGAGAGATGATTTGGAGTCACTTGCCTATACACTAGTATTCCTTCACCGGGGCAGGTTGCCATGGCAGGGATACCAGGTATCTTACTGTATAATCTTTAATCTTTTTCTCTCCATAAAATCAGAACTATTTTTTTCTTGAGTAGTCTTGTTTGACCATTGATCTTTTTTGGGCCTGTGTTTACAGGGTGATAATAAATCATTTTTGGTGTGCAAGAGAAAGATGAGTACCTCACCTGAGACCCTTTGTGGCATATGTCCTCAACCTTTCAAGCAGTTTCTTGAGATCGTTGTCAACATGAAGTTTGATGAAGAGCCAAACTATTCCAAGTTGATCTCATTGTTTGACAGTTTAATTGGACCAATCCCTTCCATTAGACCAATCAATACTGATGGAGCTCAAAAGGTCTGTTTCAGGCATCACATACTTCATTGGCGAGTTCAAGTGAAATGAACCTTTAAAAATCTAGGTACACCTGGCTTACATATTTTGTGGACATGCTCACCCTGCAGGTAGGGCAGAAGCGTGCCAGGTTGCTTAATGATGACGACGACCATGTAAAAAAGAAGATTCGGCTGGGTGCCCCTGCAACCCAGTGGATTTCAGTATACAATTCCAGGCAACCTATGAAGCAGAGGTTAATGTTAATTCTCAAGTTAATTTTCTTCTGTTGACTGTATATCGTGTTTCAAGTATCCATGCAGAGTTATATTATCATAGTGCATTCTGTAATGTTCTTTCTTTTAAAAGCGAGTTCCCATTTTTTTTCATATTTGTGTAAAAATCTGATTCATTCAGTGAAAGGAACCAAGTTAACGACATGGCAAGACTGCATGTAGATCATAATTTCTACTGGGATAACAAATTTAAATGGAAAAATATAGTTTGATCCCTTGAGAACCAAAGATAATCCATAATACTTCCGCTGTTTTTTAATTCATCGATGCACCGACATTCTTTTTGTGTATTTTGTCACTGTAAAAGGATGATTAACTTCTGCCGTTGATAGGTACCACTATAATGTGGCTGACGCAAGGTTAGCACAACATGTGGAGAAAGGAAATGAGGATGGTTTGTTGATAAGTTCAATATCATCATGCTCAAATCTTTGGGCAATCATTATGGATGCAGGAACTGGCTTCTTAGCTCAAGTCTACGAGCTATCTTCACACTTTCTTCATAAGGTAGGACCTTCCCATCTGCACCTCATGTAATTCATTCTCTTTCGATGTTCTCAATTTTGCCAAAAAAAAAACCAGGAATGGATTATGGAGCAATGGGATAAAAGTTACTACATCAGTTCTGTTGCTGGCTCCAACAATGGAAGTTCTATTGTAGTGATGTCAAAAGGTATGTATATATTTTTATGTGACATATATCATTATCTTACTGTATCCCCACTTGCTTGTGACAAGAACTGTTTGTTGTCGCTGTTGCTGGCCTGCTGCATATATATTCATTACATTCTTTTCCCTACAGCTGCAGTATATCCGTGACTATTCTATATCTTGTAGTTTATAATGTACCCACTTGAATGAGCCTGAAAAGTAAACCTGAACAACAAAAAGGAAAACACAAGTGTCTCACCAGTTGCCTGACAGCAGGAACAGTATCTGCTCAAGCACCCTTGATATGCACCTGTCATCAGAATTACCTGTCACTTGCTTGGTCCTTTTCCTTTTCGTAATGTAGACCCTGTCACAATTGTGCGTCTTTGACAGAGAGAGTTTTTTTTTGTTGGTCCTCTGATATAGTATGTTTGATGGCCAGGCACACCATATACACAGCAATCTTACAAAGTCAGTGATTCCTTTCCATTTAAGTGGATAAACAAGAAGTGGAAGGAAGGTTTTCATGTGACTTCAATGGCAACATCAGGCAATCGATGGGCTATAGTCATGTCCCGCAGTGCTGGTTTTTCTGAGCAGGTTTGCACCGATTCTGAACTCCATATAGAGAGATAACGTTGTATATGATTCTCATTTTCATCGTGAAGCATTTGGATGGTTAGCAAAAGACAAAAGCCAAGTGTTTTATGCTAGAGGTTTTAATATTTTCTTTCATGCTGCACTGTTTGCAAAGGACAGTAGAAAGTATTTTTGGTAGCAATGTGAGTTTCTAAGATGTTCAGGTGCATCTTCAGTGATGGTTAGGTCTGGTATTTTATTTGGCCTTGAAGTTTAGGAATGTGCTACTACGTATGCGTGATGATCTAAGATGAGGGTGCCTTGATCTTGATGGACTTAAAGCATTGCAATTCTTGCAGGTCGTGGAGTTGGACTTCTTGTACCCAAGTGAGGGCATCCATAGACGCTGGGACAATGGCTTTCGTATCACTGCAATGGCTGCCACAATGGATCAGTCTGCGCTGATCCTAAGCAAGCCAAGGCGTCGCCCGAGAGACGAGACACAAGAGACTCTGCGGACTACACAGTTTCCCAGTCAACATGTCAAGGTAGGACAGAGAGCCGTGGATCTCTCTCTTGCTTTAGCTTGACCAGTGCCTTTTACTTACTTGTTCCTCTTGGCTGTTGCAGGATAAGTGGGCCAAAAATCTCTATCTTGCTGGGATATGCTATGGGCGAACCGTGGCCTAACATCGTCGGTTGCTGACCTAGCTGTTGTTTGATGTATATTTTTGAGTTTTCATCAGCTGCTACCAGCATGAGCCACAAGGACAGGGCAGCAGTGTCCTAGTCCATGGAAGAAGATGAATGAATTCCGATGTATGTACCTGAACCTGATTCTGGGTTTGGTCTCGTAAGTTAATCGGGAGAGGCTGGTGCAGACAGAATAGCGTAGCTACTGATCAGCCGTAACGTACCTGTCCGATCCAATAAAACGAGTCTGTAATGTGGCTTTTGCAGCGCATTTTCTGCATCATGTTAAGGAGAATTCTGTTTTTTTATTCAGTGATTATGAAGAGAAAATATATAGAGCGGAGACATGTGTTTATTTGTTTTCTCTGTACAAGTACAATACAATACACGAGAAATGGATATATGGTATTTATAAGACAGCGCAAAGAGAAGAAGACTACTGGTCCTGTGGCGGAGGCGCGGTGGCGGACTGACGGAAAGAGAGCATGCTGGGCGAGTCAACTCTGACGATGACTTCTTCGCCGGCGGAGTCGTCGCTCGAGTTGTCTTCCTCCTGCAAATACATAGCCTTCCGCCGCCGCTGCTGCTGGGCTGCCGGAGCAGGAGCGGTGGCAGCTACCTCAGCAGCGTCTCTTAGAGGTAGAGCTGCCACTCGTTTCATGTTGGAGCCCTCCGACTGCACGGAGAGCAGAGGCCGCTCCTTGGACGGCATCCTTGGGTAGGAGGAGCTGTGCTTCTGGTTTGTCGTCGTCGCCTGCACGCGATGACGCCTCTGCCGCTGGTGACCCTGCTGGCCGGAGGAGAGGCTCACCATGCTGCCGTACATACTCAGCTGCAGGGCCCTGGAAGACAAGCCGCCCGGCATCTCAGCAGCTAGGCCTAGGCTGCCACGGGACCTCCGGAAGCTCTCGGGCCAGCTGAGCAAGCCGCTGTGCTCCTTGCTCATGCTCCGTGCTGGCTCATGGCCTCCTCCTTGGGGCAGCAGCAGCCGCGACGCACTTCCATGAAGATGAAGATGGGCCTCTGCCTCCTCGAAGAAGATGATCCGCGCTCTAGCTTCCACATGATACCTGCGCGCAGTATGGCAGTAGTCTATACAAGAGAAAGGAGTCAGATCAGAGCCTTTCTTCTATAATAGGCAAAAACGTAATAATAAATAAAGAGACCTGAGGACTCGAGACCGAATAAGCTCAAGTCAGCATTCCATGGCAGAAGCACCGCCGGAGGCGTGATTAGAGTCAGGTTCTCGGCCTTCAAGAATCCTTCCAGCAAAATGCCAATGCAATTCTGCTCCACTTCCGTGTCTTCTCCCTTGATGTATATGTTCATCGTCGACCTTTCAGCTATGAGAACCCTCATCTCATGCATTCCCATTTTCTCGAATATGCGAGGGAGCAAAAGCCTAGCAAGCACCAGAGCGCTTTCCTGCCAACATTCATCCATCCATGATCCATCGAAGTACCATTTATTTATTTTATTTACTACTACTACTACTATGTGTGTAGTAGGAGTAAGTATGTATTAATATTACCTGCCACAGGAAAACCTCAATCGAAGGATCTGAATGGCGCAGCTCTTCTATCTTTTCAGTTTCGACGAAGAAACAGTGTGCCACCGAATCCGTGGTCATGTCACAGATATATGGCTTTCCAATCAGCACCTCATACAGACCCAAAGTGCTTCCATGTGATAGAATTGGATCTAAGCAATGCCTTCTGCTTAATCTCTGACTTGTCCACTGTTGTTGGTAAAATAAAAAGGGGGGATAAAATGCTCATTAGAACGAACAGTTTGTTCCCAACAGAATTTTGTGAGTGTTGTTGAGACGCACACTGACCTTTACTACACCAATAGAAACAAGCCATATACCGGTTGGCCTGGAGCCTTCCCTATACAGTGTTGTGCCCTGCCCTCGCAGGGTTTCCTTTGTATTGCTTAGCAAAGGATCACGCACAGCAGCAGGCAGCGCGCCAACTAAAGGATGAGTGTTCAGAAGGTCACTGACTCTTGGCATTTTCACTATTGGTGGATTCCTCTGCAACTTCTTCAAGTCTGTCTGCCAAGTGAATTAGCTTAGCTTACTGGAGTTATATAGGCATATTTAGGTAAAATAGTATTCCAACTACCTGCAGAGCATCATCTAACTGGACCATTTCCTTCTCTTCCAGCAGCCCAGTCTTCTGCAGGTTTTGAATATACTCACTCAAGTGTGTCAGCACAGAATATGTGACTTGTCGTGTCTTTAGCACTCGTAGCACCTGAAATTTTGGGGGGAAATGATTTCAGAACCAAGGCACTGCAATTTATCAGCAGGAGGATTCTTCAGTTTATTCATGCAATAATCTTTATCTTCATTATTATGTTGGTTTTGTACTTTCTTCAATTTTTACGGAGAGAAAACTGATTGTTTTTTTCCTCGAACACACAGGACTGCTTGGTGAATATGTTACAAAGACTTTGTGTTGGAACTGAAAGCGCAACAGTAGTTGAATGAAATGATAGAAGCACATTGTTACCACAAACCTGCGGGAATGTAACTCGAACATCTTCCAAGAATTTTCTAGCTTCCTCTCCCTCAGCGTTACTTTCACCAATAACAGTTCTTGCAACCTCACTATCGCCTGAAGATAGAAGAAAACAAATAATAAATACCGAAACTGGCGAAGTGCATTAGCATCGTACCAGAAGATTGAGCCTAGGGTATCTACAAAACAGAATGAAGGATGGAAGATGGACTCAATCAAAACCATATAGAGAGTGTGGAACCCTTAATCAAGCTTTCATAGTTCAAACTGATAAAATAAACTCGGTTCGTTACATCTTTTTCTATCTTAATGACACACAGCTCTCTTGCGTAGTTCAAAAAAAAAAGTTCAAACTGATAAATAAATTGAGCTACCCCAGGTTCATCCTCATTGAAGTAACACTCAACCACAATTTCACCCTATAAAGTGGTTTTGCAGTGAAGTATGTTGGTCCCTTGCTGCCCTGCATAGGTAAGCAGCTAGCTTACCAGCACACCCACACACTCACTATGGCTAGAGGTAGAAGGAGCTCAGCACTCACACACACACTGCACGAGCTGCAGCAGCAGCTCTGAACTCTGAATGTGGCAACTGAACTGCCCTTTTCCATTGCATACAGGTAGTATATATCCAAGCTACTAGTACCTCCTAAGGTACACTAGTACACCTACTACAATGTCCTCTAGGACATGGCTGAAGTCAGCCTCAACAACTAAGGTATGGCTGAGCTAAGCCACTACTACCTAAGGTACAACCTGGTACAGGTGATGGCCTATTGCCATACTTGAACAGGGCCAAGGATAGCAATGAGCTGACCAAAATGCCAACTCTGCTGCAGGGAAAGAGAGAGAGATCAGCATCAGATTATGTCTTACAAAGTAAGGCTGTCACCCCACATGACCTAGTAGTTTGACAAAAAAAATACTGTAAGGGCCTGTTTGGATCCTTGGAATTGAATTCATTCTAATAATTATAATTTAGACATAGATAAATTAAGCTAATATAGTTATATATCGAATATATTTGTATATTTATTGTTAGGCATATAAGAGACATACTTATACATTGGTTGTATTTCTATTGTATGGAAGTGAGTTGAAGAGTGTGCTATAAGCTGGAGAGTAGAATTATAGCATAATGATCTATAGAATCCATTTCCATCTCCCACCGTATGAATTTGCGATAGGTTTATTTGTGAGCTTGGGAAAGTTATGGAATGTCAAATTCCAAACCAAATAGCCTAATCCATTAAGTAGAATTCAATTCCTCCAAAATGAAGGGATCCAAACGGCCCCTAACAGATTTATGTGGTGAAGGTAAACCCTTCTTAAAAGTCTGCTTTCTATTGCCATTTGTGATCTACATGGCAACAACAATGTACAGCTATAGAAAATGTCCACCATACATGTAAATCTCATACATATGCAATTAGTACTGATTCTCTTCTAGCACCCCAAAGAAATAATAGGCAATTTGCAGGAAATAACACATCAAGTTCCCAATATATTACCAAGAAAATCATGTAGCTGCCGCCTTGCGATTCTGTGAGCACGAAGAAATGCAGCACAGATGTAACATCCAGACTCTAATCTTTCGACTGTGAAGTATGTGACAAGCTTTCGTGGTAACCTACTCATCTGAAGGAACCTATAGTAATTTGGGAACTGGACATTAGACTTTAAACCTTTCCAATCACATAATGTTTGTCCGGAAACAAGATCCATAGCTTCATCAACCGATCTCATCAGAATATTTGCTGTAGCTTGAGTTATTCGTCCTTCTTCAAGCATTCCCCAGTAAGCAGCTTGCACACCTGTTATAAAATATGTCCTTATAAATTGTCTCCTTTAACTAACATTCATAACAACACTTTGCACATTAAGTTGCAAAGGTATAGAAGATAGAACCATGGAGGGAACAGTAAGCAAACAGTTTATGGATAAACACATATTGCAATGAGAAGGGTGTAAAATTGGAAAGACAAATGGACATCAGTCACAACCCCAACATATCAGACTGACAAAATACTTCTCAACAAAAGAAATCATATCAAAAGTAATGGAGGCCAATCACTACAAAGTAGCAATTCATTTAGAAGACAGATAAATACCATCAAATTACAAAGACGGAAGGGCCTAGCTAAAAAGATGGCCAGATGGGTAGGGAAAATTTGCCACCTTACTTGGGACACAAAAAGGCTTAGGTTAATTGCCAGCAAGAATTAGTGAATATAACAGTATTTTTACTTGGACCGTTGATCTAGATGACTATTATCACACATTATATCCTAAGAGGTAACAGAATTAATATATATTTATATATTTTTTATTTTGATAAATAGGAAAGATAAGAAAAATTTCAGGTTAGATATCTATCAATTAGATCTGACATGTATGGCATGCTGTTGTGGACTCCTTCATTGGGCAACAGTATAATAGAAAGGAGGAGAAAGGGTCGGCTGCCTCTAGTGGC